GGATGGACAGACTGACCCTGCTTTTCCAAGACCAGGAAGCCAAGATCATGTTCTTCCTCTTCCATAAAGAGTGCTCTGGACAGGCCTTGGCTCTCAGTGCGCACACTTGACATATCGTGGATCACCCCTCAAATCAGGCCTATGTCCCCTTGACCTGGGAGTAAGTCCAGTCTCTGTGTTGGAGGGTGAGGGATCAGGGGCCCTTATACGTCCAGCAAGGCCCAACCTTGGGGCCCTCCTGGGCTCGTGGCCACTGTGGCTAAGGGATGGAAAGTTGAAACTAATTTAATTGTTGCCAACGTGATTTCCGTTGAACCAGTGTGTGTGGCGAGCAGCTGCCGCGTTAAGCATCAGCCCAGGGTTCATAGGTGCCGCTACCGTGTGCCCACACCATGTGGCCGCCTCCTATTATCACCATCAGGGAAAAGGGAAAAAGGGGCACGCGAGAGCTCTAAATGGAACCCGAATACCGCAGAGAAGACGGATCCATGGCCGTGCTGCTGGGGACAGCTGGGAAAAGAGAGGTTGCCCTGGGCTGGGAGCTGCTGCAGCGTCAGCGGTGCTCGTGCTGGGTGTGCCAGGGCACAGGGGCAAGGGCGCGGCGAGGGCAGGTTGAGGGTTAAATGAGGATTTGGGGAGGCTCCCGGAGAAGGTGGCTCTCTGGCGGTGCTGGAACGAGAGGCCGCAGGCCGCCGATGGCCGTGGCTGGTGGTGAACAAGGGAGGGTCCCAACCTGAGTCGCCGGGTTGTCCTGTGGAGCGGTTGTGGTGGCTGTTCGTTGCTGTCCCTGCATCACATGCCCCTCGCAGATGTGCCAACCAGGAAGTGGCGTGAGGAACAGGGCGGAGACACCTGTCTGAACCAAAAATAAGACAGCAGTGGGGGTGTTCAAAGCCCCCCCAGGAGGTGCCTAAAGCCCTCACTTAGGGTCCCAGCCTGAGGTCATGCCTTGAGCTCCTGGGGTCCCACCCAGAGCCCAGCTACTGCAGGGATGGGGTCGTCTCGGAGGTGCTTACTGGGAAAGGGCCATGCCACCCCGAAAGCTACCTGCCCCGGGCCCCTCCCTGCACTGCCACCCCTATGCCCAGTCATCAAGATCCCCAAGTCTGGCCTCCTGTTCCAGCACCCAAGGTCAAGGCTTGGGGGAACCTACAACCCCAGGTTCTCCAGTTGTGACCCCCCCTTCCACAGACCGAGTCCAGAGTAGCTGGATTGGTGCCCCTGGCCCCCTGGCGAGCCTGTGCTATACTCTGCAGTCTCCCCAGAGGTCAGTCCTGGGCGAAGCTGTGAGCGCCCTGGAGTCAAGGGCAGAGGGGAGCGGCAGAGGCCCCAGGCTGCTCTGCCAGATTCCTGTAGGCTGAGGCCAAGATTCCTAAGATTTCGGCACGTGTTGACTCAAGAAGCCCGTATGTCAGGTCACCCTGCACCGGGTGTTTTACACATTAGCCCTGACAGCAGCTGTAGCGGCGGCAGGAGCTTTACAGACAGGGGACTGAGGTGCAGAGAGGGCAGGCCTACTCCAGGAAGGTCACACAGCGAGGTGGGAGTCGGACTTGGAACACGAGCTCCATCGTAAGGGCACTGAGGTCACAGAATCACGCAAAAATCATTCAATTCCTTAAGTGTGAAATCCTCAGGCAAGATTTCCAGAGTTATAATGTTCTAAGCTTTATGAACCCCAGGATTTTGAATGGTGGGATGTCAACAGCTAGAGTTCTTGGGTTCTGAGAGACTGAGAGTCTAAATTGTCAATATTTTCAGCTCTGCAGCCCAGGGATGCCTTAGAGTCCCTGTAAGACAAGGGCAGCCTCGATGGAGGAACTGGTTGCCAATATACTTGGTCTGGACGCTGGGACTTGAGTATGATGTGATTTCCCTGTGTAGCGAACAATACTCTTCTTTTGGGTTCCTTTCAACCACTTAAAAAATGTAAAAAAAATTAACACCCAGGACATACCATAAAAAGAAAAAAAAAGAGGTCGTTGTCTGAATTGGCCCCCTGGGTTCAGGACAGCACTGTCCAGTAGGAACACAAGACACACCACAGCCACAATGATAGTTTCGAATGTCCCAGTGGCTATGTTAAAAGAACTAAAAGAGGGGCCTCCCTGGTAGCGCAAGGAGTTAAGACACAACCTATGAAGCTATATCCACAGCAACTGCAGCACAAGTTTGATTCCCCCCGCCAGGGAGATACCCACATGGTGCGGCAGACCTCTCCTGTCTCACCCTCTGCTCCCCTCAGCAGTGTGTTTTGGTCAGTCTGCCTGTCCTGTTCCCTGCTCTGTCTCTGGTGAATCCTCTTACCCCCCACACCTCTGGCCTGCACCCCAGTTCTTATATGCATAAATAAATCTTAAAAAAAAAACTAAAAGAGAAGTTTTAGCAATATGTTTTACGCAACTCCACAGTTAGAGGCGGTGATCATTTCAACATGGAATCAATATGAAAAACTGCTGAGGAACTATTTCACAGTGTTCTCTGGGCCATGTCTTGGCGATCAGCTTGCTTCCCACTTGGGGGGGCATCTCCACTGGACGCTGGCACTCCTGCACAGACCCACAGGCCAGCCTGCACAGCCTGTAGCAAAGAAAAAAAAAAAAGCACACATTTTTCAAATGTGTGTTTCAAATACACTCAGACTTTCTAAAAAACAGCTGGATGTGGCCGCCATTTTTTAAAAAAGATTTATTTATTTTTATACAAGAGCTGGGGTACAGGCCAGAGGCATGGGAGGGTGAGAGGATTCACCAGAGACAGAACGGGGAGCAGAACAGGCAAAAGGACCAAGATACACTGCTGAGGGGAGCAGCTGGCACAACAGGAGAGGTCTGCCTCACCATGCGGGACCATCCCTGGCCAGCCGGGAATCGAACTGGTGCTGCAGAGGCTGCGGACAGCTTCACAGAGCTCTGCTCAACCCGCTGCACCACCGGGGAGGCCCTTGGTTGCCATTTTTAATTGGACATAGGAATTAATGAGCATCAAATAAAATGAAACCTTCACTTATTCAGCCCTGCCAGGCACACTTCAAGCACTCAGCGGCCGTGTGGCTGGTGGCTACAGAGGTGGGCAGAGGGAGCAGGGCCACCAAGGGCCATCAGTCAGCTCTGGTCAAGATGCCGTGATTAGTTGCCCAGTACTTACTGGCTGTCCCAAGCTGGGCGCCTGATAATATTAACACCTGGGGTAGGCCCATTTCCGTGATGGGAAACAGACTTGGCAGTGACGTTGGAGGGCTTAGAACAGTTTGGACTCATTCTTCTTGTTTCTGAGGTTTAGCTACTTCCCAGCCTTGTGGACTCCCCAGTTCCTCCACCCCCATCCTCCAGCTCCCTGTAGGTCCCCTGGCTGCTGCTGCATCTCCTGCTGCAGGGGCTGCAGAGCTGCTGGCCAGCCCCACAGCTCCCCCTGCTGGACAGCATCCTAGAGACACTGTGCTGGGTGGGGCTTGGACCAACCACTGTCCAGCCATAGGCCCAGGGTGGCCAGGGAGCTGCAGGCACGTGCACCGTCTCTGTCCTAGAGAACCTTAGCTCTTGACTGTACCCATAAACCATCACTAGTGGCCCCACGGGACTAGCACCAGGGCTGGGGATGACAAAGAGAGCTGTGGGCAGCTACTGAGCACACAGGCCAGAGCAGGTGCTCAGGGGCGGGCCCAAGTTCTGTCTCATCTCTGGCCTTCACTGTTCCCCCCAGCCCATCGGGAACCCCCGCACATTACCACCCTTCCAGCTCCCTTCCTGGATGACACAAACTGCACGGTCTCATTGTTGACTCCCCCTTCTGCCATTTCACAGATGATGAAACTCAGAGAGGGGAAGGGCTTGCGCAAGTCCACTGAAGAAAGGAGACTTAGGGTGGTCAAAATGAAAGCATGACAAACAGAAAAAGTAAACAGACACCCAGGGAGGGGGGTGTCAGGGAGGGGTTGCTCCCCAGGAGACTGCAGAGGTGATTCGTCTCTGAGCCCCCACAGAACCAAACCAGACTCCTGTCAAGTGTCTCAAACTCCTACTCACGCTTCCAATCCTGTCTCCCACACCCCCTCTCCTATGCAGCTGCTTTTATCCCTTCCACTGGGGCCTTAATTCTGCCTCCAAGCCCAGGCCCCTCTTCCTGACCTGAACGTGGGCACAGGAGCAGAAGCCTGTGGACAGGCAGGGCCAAGGTAAGGTAACCTGGGAGCCGCCAGCATGGAGCCAGGCGTGGGCCCAGAGGCCATGCAGGGAGCTGGGGTGAATGCATAGGTCTAGGGGTGAATGAATGAGTTACTGAAGTGAATTCATTTATTCTGCTATTTATTAATTTATTGATTTGCCTGTGCAAGCAGACCTCACCTTTTGAGTACCCTATTCCTGGCCTGACACACTTGGCCCCTGTCCCCAGGGCATCTCCTGACTCAACCCTCTGACAGGGTGTTCCATTCCCCAACATCCCTCAGCCTGCAATTCAAGCCGCATTTCACCCCCACCCCAAACTAATTCGACTGATCTATCCACGATTCCAGCCACTGACAGACCCTACAGGCCTTTGCACCTTTTGTGCTGCCCAGACCACGAATCCCTTTTGCAGGGCAAACTCCTACTTATCCATCAAAGTCCCAGCTCCAGTTGCCTCCTCCTCAGAGGCCTGGTTCTGGTTTCCCTGTAACTGGGAGACGCCTGTAAATGGCAGAGGGGTCCTTATTCGTGCCCCAAGAGCATTGGGGTCCCACCCAACAATTCCTGCTCTTCCATCTGCGTGCAGAAGGGTAAACTGAAACCCCAGGAAGGGTGAGGGAGCCGCCTGGGGGTTCCAGGCAGTCTAGAGCCCCAGCCCCCGCCAGCCTCAGTTTCCCATCGGTTCAGAGCTGGCCGGGGGCCCCTCCCGTCGGCGGGTGTCGGGGGAGCTCAGGGGGCTCAGGAAGTGGCGACCGCAGGAATCTGGCTTCCCGGCCTTATAAGGACATGAGCGCTCCGGGCCAATCAGCGGCCGGGGCGGGGCCGCCTCCCGCGTCCCCCGACGGCGCCCGGCCTGGCTGTCGGTCTGTCCCGCCGCCCGGCCATGAGCTCCACGCAGTTCAACAAGGGACCCTCCTACGGGCTTTCCGCCGAGGTTAAGAACCGGGTGAGTGAGGGGCGCGCCCCCTGTTCCCGCTAGCCGGGACCGTCGCACCCTCGGACCTATGCAGGGGTGGGGAGCCCAGACAGGCACCCTCACATTTGGGGGTGATGAGCTCTGAAATCTGGGGCGAGAGTGACCCCTCTTCTCCTGGGGGGGCCCTCCCCCCCCGCTGCCTCAAATCTCGAGGAGCAGTGTGGGCTGGCACTTAGCATCCCCCCAACATCTAGGAGTGGATGGGTGGAAGCCCAGCCCTGCTCCTGGCACCTCTCTAGTGGACCCCCCCAGTGGAACCCCCTCCAGACTCTACCCCCGGCTCTAGTTCCCTTGGAGGCCTGAGAAGCCCGGCCTTCGGAGGGGACCCCAGCAGTCCCCTACTTAACTCCTAGCCACACTTCTGCTTTTGGGGCCACTTGAGCTTGGGGCAGAGAAGGGGGCGTTGCCCCAACAGGAATTTCCCCACTTCTCTTACACCTGGGAGAGGTCACCAAGGGGAAGTTGGGGCTGAGGGTGCCACCCCAGCTGGGCTGTGCCTGTTTACAGTCCCTTTGTCCCCTGGGATCCCCTGAAATGACCCTAAAATGTGTAAGTTTTGTAACTTGGAAATAGGAGGTGGGGCCAGGGAGACACTTCTTATTCAAGGATTCACTGTAGTTCTGGTTCAAGGGAAGGACAGATCCTTAGGGAAGGTTCCACAGCGGGGTCAGCCCACCTAGGGGAGGGGCAGCAGAGGGCAGTGACCCCACAACCAGGGAGAGTTCTATGTCTGACACCCAGGGCTCTTCCATCTGGAGAAGGGGGTTGTCTTCCCTGCCCACCCTCACACCCCCTCCTGCCAGGCAGCTGGGAATGTGGTCCTGCAGCTGGCAGCAGCTGGGAGCCTGCCTGGGCAAGTTAAGGGCATAGCCCTGCCAGCCCCTGACAGGTACCTGCCCCGTCGGCACCCACACACAGTGGGGGGATTTCTCTATCACCCCCGAGGGCACCTTGGTGGGCTCTTTGGGAGTCTGTCTGCTCCAGCCTATTTGACTGGGGTGGAGGGGTCGAGATTTGGGGAGCCAAAAGAGCAGGGTCACTCAGCAAGCTCTGGACGCCTCCTGAAGTGTGCTCTTCTCCACTCTGGCACTAAATCTGGCAGCTGGACATTAGGGGCCTCACCCCGCACCAAGGGACACCAGCCTCAGGCAAGTTACTTGTGTGCCCTGAGCCACACAGCCCTGATCTGTCTCCAGCAGCTCATGGCCCCTGGGCCTCCTGGGCAGTCACAGCCCCGCCCCTAGAGCAGCAGGAAGTAGATGAGGGTGCTGCACCCTAAGGGGGGGTCAGGGAGAGAACAGCTTCCAGAGTTGAAGTGGGATGGGGGCAGGTTGGTACCTGCTGGAGCAGAGATGAGGTCAGAGGGCGTCCATGCCTGTCGTCAGTTTGCCGGCTGGGGAATGGGTGGTACCCAGGTGTCAGGGTCCCTTTGGGGGCCACACCCAAACTGGAACCAGCTTCCAGTGACTTCCAAGCCACTTGCCCAGCTGCTTAAGCGGGAAGAGACCTCTGCCCGGCGCCCCAACTGTCTGGCACAGCAGCAGGCTGATGTCCAGGGTGTCTCTCAGGGCTGGATGGTGAGATCCCCAAGCAGCTGGGTGGGGGCGGGGGAGTGGGCCTAGGTCGCTGGGAACAGCTGGTCCCAATTTAGCCAAGGAGGCAGGGCCACATTCCTGACAGTTTGTGGTGAGGAGGAATGTGCTGAAGGCCATCTGGGTAGCCGGGTGGGGGCTGGGGTGGGAGGAAGGAAGCCATTGCCGCAGGCTGCCCGGGACCCTGGCCCCCTGGCCCCCAAGAGCCATCAGGGAGGGGGCCCAGCCAGACAAGGCATGCCTGGCATCCAGACCAGCCTGCCGGCTTCGAGCTCGGCTCTGGGTGCTCAACCCCCCTTTCTTCCTCAGACTGGACAAAGACTCCCCTGGGCAGGGCTGCTCCCTGTGCCGTGGGAACCCGAGACTGAGGCCCAAGTGGGGTGGGTCAGACGGATTGGGTTAGCAGGCTGGCCTGCCTTTGTCTGCCTTTGTCTCCCCGAGCTGGGGCTGCTGGGCCCTGATCGCAGGGGGTTATCAGCAGCAACCAGGAAGCACCCTGCCCCTCCCTCCCAGGAGACCCTGGCGAAAGCTATTCCAAACACAGATGGGGAAACTGAGGCCTGGGAGGGAGAACTGTCCATAGTTGTCAGGAAGGTGGGGGGATTGCTGGGAGTTGGAACTGCAAAGGGCACCTTTGGCGTCTGTTGCCTGGGGTGGGGAGGACAGGAGGAAAAGAAGAGGAAGGCCCCTTGGACAGGGATCTGTGCGAGCAGAGGTGTGCGGGGGTCAGTCGGAAGCCCATGGAGCTCAGTCCTTTGCCCCTGACTGGCAGCTCGACTTCTTACCACCCACCTCTGAGGAGCTGGCCTGGGGTTGACCTCCCTGTCTACATACCCGCCAGGGTCTCCCTAACTTCTTGGGTTTCCCTGGACCCCAGCCATTGTGAGTTGTCCACCTGTGTGCTCTGAGATGCTGCTGTGAGGAGTGGGGCGTGTGTTTGCACACACGTGCGAGCATGCACTAGTGGGTGGTGTGCGCTGACATTTTTATCCAGCCACCCAGGGCTGCAGAGACAACTTGAGGGGTGGACCTCATGCAAGGAGACTGATCACATGATAGGAGGTAGAGATGAAGCTAGAAGAAAAGTAAGCAGAGTTGGGGAGAGGGTCCTGGGTGGCCCCAAGCACCCACTAGATCTTTGCCATGAGCAAGGGAAGGGTGTGTCATTGCCATTGGCCAGGGAATTGGCCTCTCCAAGGAGGTGACCTCCGAGCTAAGACCATATTGAAGGGAGGGACTCAGCCATGCAGGCCTCTGGTCAGAAGTGACAGCATGTGCAAAGGCCCCAAGGCAGTAACTGTGGTGGGGGTTCAAGAAACAAAGCTTTGGTGGTTCCTCAGTAAGTTGAACGTGGAATGACCACCTGTTCCAGCAATTCTACTCCACCCCAAAGATTTCAAAGTAGGTGTTCCAGTAAAATTAGTCTAGGCATGTTCATAGGAGCAAGAACCACAGTAGCCAGAAAGGTGGAATCAACCTGTGTGTCCATGATCATCATAGTATGTCCACCCATATGCTGGGATATTACTCAGCCATGAAGAGGAGGGCAGCTCTGACAACCACTACCCTGAAAACATGATGTTCAGGGAGAGAGGCAGACACACAAGGCCACAGCGTGAGTCCTCTGATGTGCAATGTCCAGAACGGGCACAGCCACAGAGGCAGAGTGGGTTCATGGTGCCAGAGTCTGGGGAGTGGCTGGGGGTGATGCTGATCAGGATGGGGTTCCTTTACAAGTGATAACTGTCCTAGAATTAGACAATGGGATGGTTGTACAACACGGTGAATATACTGAAAACCACTGAATTGTGTGATTTAAAATTATAAAAGTTGGGTGTGTCTCACCAGGATTTAAAAGAAACGACAGGGCCTCCCTGGTTGCGAAGCTGCCCGCAGCCTCCGCAGCGCCGGTTCGATCCCCGGCTGCTCCCCGGCCACCGGAGGCGGGTCCCACATGGCGCGCAGACCTCTCCTGCCGCCCGCTGCTCCCCTCAGCAGTGTCCTTCGGTCCTTCTGCCTGCTCTGCTCCCCGCTCTGGCTCTGGTGAATTCTCTCACCCTCCCGCGCTTCTGACTGTACCCAGTGCTTGTGTAAATAAATAAATAAATAAATCTTAAAAAAAAAAAAAAAGAGAAGAAAAAAACCAATAGTATAAAAGAAACGACAGAGGCAGTCAGTATCTCGAGCAGGGAGAACACAGACGCGAAGGCACAGGGCAGATCCTGGGGGTCTTGCTGACCATCCCCGGTGTGGGAAGTAGGTTAGAGTCACTGCTTATCAGTGAGAGACACGAGTGTGTCGCTGTGGCCAAGTGCTTTATCTGTGCCTGTGAGTGTCCCTGCCCGTGGAAGGACCCTCCATCTCTTCCCGTCAAATGACTGTTCTCGCCCTTTCAGAAGCTTCAGGGCCTTGTGCTGGGTGTTCTCGTCTCACCCTGTGCTCTCTGCTCCTTCAGCTCCTCTCCAAATATGACCCTCAGAAGGAGGCTGAGCTCCGCAGCTGGATTGAGGGACTCACAGGCCTCTCCATCGGCCCCGACTTCCAGAAAGGTCTGAAGGATGGAATTATCTTATGCACGTGAGTGCGTGTGTTGGCACATGTTCGTCACCCTGGTTGTTCTTCACAGACAGATGTTTGAGGCTTACTTGCTCTTCCCCTCATGGGTCTCAGATCTTTCACTTTTTCTGTTCTTGTCACATCACCTTGTCTGGGGGCCGTGACAGTGAGCCTCTGTGGGAGGGCTTCTCGACTCTGGAGGCCTTTCTTTGTTGCATCCTATTCTACAATATTTCAAACATTCTTCGTCTGCCCTTTAAAATGTTAATGGAAACCACCATGTTCACACCCCCAAACCAGTGGTTCTGGATTAAACCTCCAACACAGGTTGTCACTCTTTGGCATCTTTTGTGGTGAAGGTTACATTACAAGAGGGGAAACTGAGGCCCAGAGAGAAGTAGTGAGGCTGCCCGAGAAGGCATAAACATGGCCGAGATGAGACTTACTCTCTTGGGTCTCTGAGGTTCTCCTGTATTAATGGAGTTCCCGGTTCCCCCTCACCCCATGTGCCCTCCTCCCCAGACTCATGAATAAGCTGCAGCCGGGCTCAGTCCCCAAGATCAACCGCTCCATGCAGAATTGGCACCAGGTGAGGGACTGGCAGGGTGGAGCGAGGATGGGACCGGGAGACCCCATCTGACAGGTGGGCAGACCAAGGTCCACTCACAGTGCTTCTGCTGTCCCCTCCCAGCTAGAAAACCTCTCCAACTTCATCAAGGCCATGGTTAGCTACGGCATGAACCCCGTGGACCTGTTCGAGGCCAATGACCTGTTTGAGAGTGGGAACATGACACAGGTGCAGGTGTCTCTTCTCGCCCTTGCAGGGAAGGTAAGGCCCAGACAGGGACAGCGACCTGCCCCAAATCACACAGCAAGGCGAACATGGATTCACAGATGGTCCGCGTTCATTCCTTTGCAAATATTTCTGAGTGCCCGCAGGGCACGGCCACTCGATTTAATGGTGAACAGACACACTCCACCCTTTACGGGCTTACAGTTGGATGGAGGAAGCAGACATGAACTATTTATTTTTTTTTTTTTTTGTGGGACCCTCGCCAGCAGCCGGGGATCGAGCCGGTGCTGCAGAGGCTGCGGGCAGCTTCGCAACCCTTCGCTCAACCGCTGCGCCACCGGGGAGGCCCCCGAACAATTTTTTTTAATGGACTTAATATTTAGTGCAATTTTAGGTCCACAGCAAAATTGCGCGGACGGTACAGGGACACACACCCCCCTTCTCCACTATCAGCACCCCCCCCTGGAATGAGACGTTCGTTATAATCTCTGGGCCTTCCGGACACATTATCCCTCAGTCCAGAGTTTATATTAGGGTTCACTCTTCAAATAATTTTTTTATAAATTAAGAGAAGCGCCTTGAAGGAAAAGGCACAATTAGACGCGGATTTAATGACCCTGAAGCTGAGAGCAGAGAGGTGAGAACAGTGTTTCAGGAGGAGGGAACGGCAAGGCCCTGACGTGGGGACCAGGGGGAGGCTTTTGTGTCAAGGAACGGGGTTCTGAGTGGGGTTTTCAGAGACTCCTTTGTGGCTGCCACGTGGGAAGTGGAGGTAGGGAGAGCTGGAGGCAGGAAACCAGGTTAACGATGGTGGCCGTGGCCTGGGCGGGGGTCGGGTGGCAGGAGGTGGCAGGAGGTAGGTGCGGGACAGCAAGGATGCCCTGAAACTCTTGCCCTGAGCAGCTGGAAGGCCGGGACTGCTGATGCCCGGAGCGGGAAGGAGGCCATGTGCTGTCCCCACGAGGCGTCGGGAAGCGTGCAGCCCCAGCCCCTGCCTCCCCCAGAGTGGTGCACCTTGGGCCTGTTTCTGGGGTCCCTGCTGCTCCTCCCCAGTACTCCCAGCCCCCTCCCCTCTAGGCCAAGACAAAGGGGCTGCAGAGTGGCGTGGACATCGGAGTCAAGTATTCGGAGAAGCAGGAGCGGAACTTCGATGACGCCACCATGAAAGCGGGCCAGTGTGTCATCGGGCTCCAGGTAGGCCCCAGGCCCTGCCTCGGTGGGCATGAGGGGCCTTCTTAATGGTGTGATCCAGGCCCTGTCCGGTGCTGTGGTAGGGGCAACCTGACCTCTCCTCCTGCCTCCCCACAGATGGGCACTAACAAGTGTGCCAGCCAGTCGGGCATGACAGCTTATGGCACGAGAAGACATCTGTACGACCCCAAGAACCATATCCTGCCACCCATGGACCACTCAACCATCAGTCTTCAGATGGGGACCAACAAGTGTGCCAGCCAGGTGGGCCTTGCCCAGTGACCCCCTCCCCACCCTGCTCCCTCTCCCTAGAACCAAAGATCTCATCCCTGTCCCCATCCAGGCCTCCCCCTCAGGCCCCCACTTGGGGTTTCCCTCTCCTTTCTCTGACTGCACCTCCTTGCTGTGTGTCCCCTGCCTTGGTTTCCCTCATGTTTGCCAAGGCCCAGCCAACTCTGATATTTTCAGATTCTGTGACTCTTGTTTTTCCTACCAGGTATAGGGAGCATGACAGTTTGGGGGCACCTGGGTCCCCAGGAGGCCTCTTCCCCAGCCAGGGAGCTTCCAGGCTGGCAGGGAGAGAGAGACCCAAACTCCTGTGGCTCTGAGGGGCAGGTCACTAGTACTAGAGATGGAGTTTGCATAGTCAGAGAAGAGAGAGCGTCCAAGCAGGGTTTAGAAGGGTCCATAGGAGTCCGCACTGATTTGGGAGTGGTGTGGGGGTTTGGGGGAGGTTCCACTGGGCCCTCCCTTTCCTTCCCTCCCTGACGCTTTCTCTGTCCTCCCCAGGTGGGCATGACAGCTCCTGGGACCCGGCGGCACATCTACGACAACAAGCTGGGGACAGACAAGTGTGACAACTCCTCCATGTCCCTGCAGATGGGCTACACGCAGGGCGCCAACCAGAGCGGCCAGGTCTTTGGCCTGGGCCGGCAGATATATGACCCCAAATACTGCCCACAAGGCCCAGTGGCCGATGGGTCTGCCACCACTGAGTGCCCAAACCCAGGGGATGCCCCCGAGTACCCCTCCTACTACCAGGAGGAGGCGGGCTACTGACGTACCCTTGTGGGTTGGGGGTGTTTTCTCTCCCCACCTCATCGCCCCAGCTGAATTTTCAGGTTTTTCCTCTTGTTTTTCTACATGTCCTAGTGCTGCCGCCAGGGGTCTGTGGGGGAGGGCTTAGGGTCCCTGCTAGGGCAGTAAATTTCCCAGCAGGCTCTGGGTGGAGGTGTAGAGGGATGGATAAGAAACCTGGGTCTCAAATGATTTCCTGTTGCTTTTTCCACTCTTCCCTTTTCTCTGCTGATCAGTTTGTGGTTTCTGTACCCATTGAAGTTGCTGGCAGTTTTAAATAACCCCCCCCCCCCCCTCCAGGGAGAAAGGGGTGGGGATAGTGAAGGAGGTACCAAGAGGGACTTAAGACCTCTGGGATAGGGCCAGGCCACAGTCCTGACCTATCTTAGGTGTCTTGAGAATGAATTTCCCCAACACTCCCAGACCACCCGCCCCAGCCTTCCCTGGGGTCCCACTGGGAAAGCGGAGGCCCAGGTGGGGCAATGGAGTTCTGAGTAGTTGAGGCAAAGCCAGACCCCCCTCTCCTTCCCCCTCTGCCTGTTCCCCTTCCAAGGACTGCACAGGGACCTCCACCTGGAGGCCCTCCAGGGGCCCAGCCCCTGATCACACCATGAGATAATGTGAAAAACCAACTATGGACCAAAGGCAATAAAAACTTTTTATGAAAAGAAGGTGGACACGAAAGCTGGCTTCCAAGGCGGCCCTGGGAGAGGCGGTTTGCTTGGCTCTCTTCTGGGGCCCTGGGTGGGGCAAAAGAGGGGCCGCTTCAGTGGGCTGTTTGGGAGACGGAAGCTGAGGCCCAGGGCGCACATGAATATGGCCTGAAGGAATGACTTGAGAGGCCCAGGCCTGGGCTGGGGGAAGAGGCTGGTTAGAAAGGAAGTTCTGGAAGCCACCAGCCCACAGCGGCAGCTGCAACCCCCATCCCCAATCACCCAGCCCGGGGGCCCTTGCTTACTGGTTTGCTTGACCTGGGCCCCTCCCCGCAAACCTCATCCCCAAACCACCTCCTCAAAGCCAGGGCGTGTCACCTCCCGGGCACCGCCCCAGCCCCGCTCCCGCGCCGGCGCCTCCAGAGCCGCGGACCCACTCATCGTCCCTCCATCTTGTGAAATACACCCGGTTTTCAGCATTGGGAGGTTTTCCTCAAACTTGGGGTGACCGTTATAAGCCGAGGGCTCTGCTTTTAGAATGTTGGGGCCCCTGCGCCTTCTGCCCACTTCGGCCCACCTGGTCCACTTTGGGGACCCGGAGGCGTTTGAGGAATGACTGGATGGACGCAGGGTGACCAGCTGAGCCCCCATTTCCACGTGGGCAAGTAGGGGGGCCACAGTAACCCTGAAGCTAGTACCCGGGTGCCTAGGGGGGGTGGGGAGAAAGGAGCCTCCCGCGACCGGGGGCTGCGGGGCTGCGGGCGGGTGTGCGGCGAGGGGAGGCAGGCCGGCCGGCGCGGGGTGGGCTTGGCGCTTGGCCACCCCACGGTGACGCAGCAGAAGGCGAGCGGACCCTTTAAGAAACCCGGCACGGGGCGGCTTCGCTGTGACGCCGCCTTTTCGGGGAGCGCGGCGCCGCCTTCCCCGCCCCTGAGTGGCGGCTACACCAGCCAATGGTAGGGGCGAGGCGGTGGCGCTCGCGGGCCTCCGACGCGAGGGAAGTTTGACGGGCGGGGTTTCGCACAAGCCGGGAGCGCCTCTTAAAGGGACCGCGCTTCAAGGTCCCCACCAGGTGGTGGGGAGGCGGCTGGAGCTGGGAATTGGCACGGTGAGAGGAAGGCCCAGAGATTTGAAGGGGCTCGAGTGGGGATAGGGGGAGGGGAGGAGGGCTCCCTGGGAATTAGGGGATGAGGGATCTCACCTTCAGCCCCTGCAGGTACGGGCTGTGGGTGACAGAATTGACCACTGATTTTCAGGGGGGAGGTTGGACATCAGACTCACTTGAGAGGAACTTTGCCAACATGCACCTGCAGCCCCTCTCCCCCTGAGAACGCCTCCAAGCCGCATCGTACAGGTGAGAAACTGAGGCTGCTCCACCAGCTCCCACTGGATGCAAAGGGAAGTCCTGCAGAGGGGCTTCGGGGACCCTAATTCCAGCCTCTTACCTGTCAGGTGACTCTAATAAGTCCCTGCCTTTCTGGAGACCTCAGTTTCCCCTTCCGTAAAGTAAGAAAGTAGGCGAGAACCGGACAGTTCCAAGCAAGGAGAGGATCAGGCATGACTGGTCCCAGGAGCCTCCGTAGCTACCCCTTCTCCTTAGCTGTTTCCTGGGTTGTGAACCATAAATAATACAAGCAGGACGGACAAAGCTGGTGACCCCCTCCAGCTGTGCGACTCTGCCTGGCCCCTCTTTCACTCAGTCCTTGAAATGTTTAGCACAGTAAATTCTCTAGTCCTTGCCGTTATCACTGGGCAGAGGGAATTCTTTCTTGGGTCAGGAATGAGACTGGAGGCTGGAACCTGGAGGAACAGAGTGGGGCTTAGGTTGGAGCCTGGTGACGAAGAGGAAAAACTGAGCGGTCCCCCCCCCCCACCATTAGTAGGTAACCCTTGGGACCCTAGCTGCAGCACAGTAGGGACCTATAGCCCTGGCAACCAATCAGATGTGAGGACAGCTTCAGGCAGGGCTCACCCCATCCCTGGAGAGAGGCACTTTTTGATAAGTGCTTACTGTTTGGCTCCAAGCACAGCTTCCAGGAATCCTGCGCAATGGGATAGAGGAATGAGGTTCAGAAAGGGCCAGGCAGTTGCCCGCAGTCACACAGCATGTCCTCAGCCTGACCCCTCCATCTGGTCCTCTGTTCATTACCACCATGGCCTTCTGGATGCAGCTGACGGTGCTGCTTTGGAAGAATTTCCAGTATCGCCGGAGACAGCCGGTATGGTATTGCTGCGGTGGGTGGGTCAGGGCTGACCATCCTGGAGCGCCCCCTCCCTCCCCCACTACCCTCCACTCTTCTGGATCCCCCAGATCAAGCTTTTAGTGGAGTTGCTGTGGCCTCTCTTTCTCTTCTTCATCCTGGTGGCTGTGCGCCACTCCCACCCCCCATTGGAGCAGCATGAATGTAAGCCCCCCAGGGACCAGGAACTTTGTGGGGGGGAGAAAGGTGGTCCTATCCATGGGGACCCCAGTGAGCGCAGGGAGCAGAGGTGGGCACCTGATAAACGGCTGAGCGAGCCCTCTGTTGCTGGAGAATGTGCTTCTGCTGGGGACCCAAGAAAGGCCACCAATGCCCCGTGTACCCTCTAGGCCACTTCTCCAACAAGCCTCTGCCCTCAGCGGGCACCCTGACTTGGCTCCAGGGCCTCATCTGCAATGTGAACAACACCTGCTTCCCGCAGCCCACACCAGGCGAGGAGCCGGGGGTCCTGAGCAACTTCAACAACTCTCTGTGAGCAAGCGAGGTGGGGGGGCATGGGCACAGTGGTGACAGACCCTGCCAAGCTCCTATCTCCCACCCTCTCTCTTTCCCCAGGGTCTCCCGGCTCCTGGCAGATGCCCAAACTCTTTTGGGGAGCCCCAATGTCCACACGACACTGGCTGGCCTAAGGAAGCTGCTACCCAGGCTGAGGGCTATAGAGGGAGCAGGTATTAAGGCGGTGTTCCTCCTGCAGGCAAGGCTGAGCTCTGAACCTTGACTTGCTGGGCTGTGGAATGGGCACAGTGGGAAGGGTGTCTCAGGCAAAGGTTTGCCTAACCCCATGCTTCCGTGCATTCCTCCTGAAGCCTGGCGTCAGCCAAGTGACTGGCTGAAGAAGGGCCCATCCCTGGCCACTGAGCTGCTGGAGACGTTGCTGCAAGGGGTGAGGTGTGGCGGGGGCGGAAGGCCGCGTGGAGACTCTGCTATAGGAAGTCCTGGCATTGCTCCATGCTGGAGCAGGTGTCTCCCCTCCTGGGCTTCTGATTCCAGTCCCCGGGCCTTGCCTAAGATGTCCCTGGCTCCTGGAGTGACATCCCTTGTCCTGTCGTGCCAGACAGACTGTGTCTGTCTGGATGGTGGTGAGGACTCCAGTCCTCGGACCCTTTAATGAGTCCATGTTTCCCTGGGTGTGAAATGGGATCTGCGGCGGTGTGGACACCTGGGCGCCTAGCGGGACCTCAGTCAGCGTCATTGCTGCCCTTGTTGTCTTTCCCCAGGAATCCCTGAGGTCTGCCCAGGGCCAATCCCAGGAGCCCACGGACAACTTTGTCAAGGCATCAAGGGACCTGGCCCAGGAGGTAAGTGGCCCACTCGCTCTGGATCCCAACCAGGAGACTGGACCCAGGGGTGACAGAGCTGCCTGGGGGCACTTCCCTTGGGGAGCTTTTGGGAGTCTGGGGCAGAGATGGGTCTGTGCGGGAGGGTTGGCAGCGCTTCTGGCGTCCTCTCTCTAGCTCCTGGCGCTGCCTAGCCTAGTGGAGTTGCAGGCGCTGCTCCGGAGAGCCCGAGGAGTAGGCGGGCTCCTGGAGACAGCGTCAGAAGCTCTCTGCAGTGCCAAGGGGCCCAGCAGCCCCAGGGGGCTGTCTCTGGACTTGTATGAGGGAAGTGACCTGAAGGAGCTGATGGGGCAAGAGCCAGCGCCAGCTCTCCCAGACGCTGGCCTGAGTGAGTGACTGACCTCGATTCCCTAGTCTGGGCTGTGGGCAGATGTTCAGGGACAGGCACTCATGGTGCCCCTGTCCCAGGCCCCTCCTGCAAGGAGCTGATGGGGGCTCTGGATGTCCACCCACTGTCCCGCCTGCTTTGGAGGCGCCTGAAGCCGCTTGTCCTGGGGAAACTGCTCTTTGCGCCTAACACACCCTTCACTAGGCAGCTCATGGCCCAGGTAAGGACTGAGAGCAGAAGGTCCCAGCTCCCTCCCTCAGCCCAGGCGGTGAGGGCCTGGCTGGAGGCTGGAGGGAGGGCCCCAGAGGGTGGCCACAGCAGCAGGGCTCTGGAGGAGTCTGCCAGGCTGCGGGTGGAAGGGGTAGCATGCCAGTGTTCAGAGGCACAAGGTAGAGCAAAGTGGAGAGGCAGGAGAGTGGGGCAGAGCTCCCCAGAGGGGTGGGCCTGGCATGGATCTGGGCGCCTCCTTCCACAGGTAAATCAGACCTTCCAGGAGCTGGCTCTGCTGAAGGACATCCAGGAGGTGTGGGGGGTGCTGGGACCCCAGATCTTCAACTTCCTGAACAATAGCGCAAATGTGGCCATGTTACAGGTGGGCCAGGCCGGAGGCAGCAGGCCCATCCTCAGCCTCCCGGGCACATCACCCCTGCTGTGCATTCGGGCAGGGCAGGGCTACCTTGGAAAGGGTGTGGAGGGGGGATGGCAAAAGGGGTGACAAGGTCTTGGATGCTGGGGCCAGATGCTTACCTTTTCCCGCTTACCGCCACCCAGAGGCTCCTGCAAATTCAAGATAAAGAAAGGACGCGGCCAGGGGCCGGCGGCCAGGACCCGTGGGAGGCCCTTCGTGCCTTTCTGGACCCCGGTGGGGGCCAATACAGTTGGCTGGAGGCCCATGCTGACGTGGGGCACCTGGTGGGCATGCTGGGCCGTGTGATGGAGGTGAGGGAACTCTGAGGGGGATGCTGGGCCAACCTGGTGGCACCATGGGGGAGAGGAGTTCCTCCCTGGGGAGGAACCCTGCCAGGGCAGCCATCCTGGGCCCTGCTGAGCCAGCCCGTCCTGTGGGTGTGATGGAGGAGCCAACCTCAGCCTGGGGTCTGGGGGAGGACCTGGC